CTTGTTCTTAGGAGACACCAAGTCATTGAGCTGATAGAGAACATCAGTCACCCATTGGAGAGGTATGTTGGAAGCATCTCCATCTACAAGCTCAAGAGGAAATCCATCCAGCAACAACTGAGCACAGAGTTTAGGCAGATGTTGCAGTTGTTGACGTGATGGATCTGTTTTTGGAAGGAAAAGAGAAGCTTCGTAGATCTGACCCATTTCTCTGAAGAAGTGTTCAACTCCCAGTGAGCTATTGGAAAGTTGTTTATCTATTTCTTTTACCTCTTGTTTGTGCTTAGAGTCCCTGTACTTCTCTTTGTACTTCAACCTAAGGTCAGAAAGTTTTACTCGAGACAAGTTGTCAAGATTCACCCTCAACCATTGAAGAAAATAACCCCGCTCTCTCTCTGGGCTGGATATTGCAGTAATGAAGCGTTTCATTCCATCTGACATATTATAGGAGTTCTGTTTCTGACGCAGCTCTTCTTTTTTCATTTTAAGATTACTTTTATAGTTTTCTATGTTTTCAGTTCCAACTTTTCGAAGATGAAATTCCTCCTTTGCCAATAAAGTCAGTTCCTTCCATATTTGGCCTTGCAAAGGAAAATGTTCCTCTTTGTATTTGAATGTGTCTTTAATCTCTGCAGTGATTGCATCTGCTTTTTCCTTCCCATCCTGGCATTCTGGAGAATCCTCATCAACTTCTATTCCCAGTTCATGTGCAACGTCAGCCATCTGCTCTACTGACATCTTCAACTGGGGAACATAAACCACATCCCTCATTATTTTTCTGAGTCCTCTGATAAAAGTAGCCTCATTTGTTTGTGTTTGTTTAATTAGAATGTTTTTTATCCCCAGATTGTTTGCCAACCTTGTTAAATCATCACTGCGGAAGTTCTTATTTTGTTGGTTTCCTACCAAGTATATCTTTTCTTTGTGGTTTTTGTCAGTCAGCAGTTTGAACTCTTGCTCCAGCTGCTCCAACTCATCAAAGAACACAAAAACAGCAGCAGATGTCTGACACAAAAAGGAGAATTGTGTTTCAAATGAAGCTATGTTACCACGAAGGTTAGCTATAGCAACTGGCTCACTGAAAATGTCCATGTTTTTGTTTCCACAGGGAAGGTACCAGGTAATTTCAGTCAGTCCATTGGATATTCTTTTTGGAGTGTCTCCACACTCCATGTTGCGGTGAACGAAGGTGTCATGGTACTGTTCAGAGTTACTCAGGAGTTTATTGAGGATCTCTGATTTGGACATGGAACACTCACCCAGTTTAACAAAAGAGACCATTGGAAGTTTAGAGGTAACTATTCTTTCTTCTATGAATCCCTTTGATTCAGTAAGATCTGGAGGTCTGTACTTCTTAACAATGTCTCTCATGGCCCATAGCATGAGGGTGCACTGCTTTGTGCTACAGTTTGGAAGCAGCAGAGGAACTGAAAACTGACACATGGACATTTTTAACACCAGATCTTGTTGAACAAAACCATCAGAGCACAGAAAGAGAGCAGTGATTAAGTCAAGAGGGTTTACCATGTCATCTATGTTGATGTTATTAAATAAATCAGCAGGATCTAACTCTGCACTTTCTGATTCAGAGATCAATATTTTTCTTGCTGTCACATTAATCATTATCAATTTCTTTAAGAAATACCAGGGAAGATCTGATTTTTCCTTTATTGGTTCATCAGTAATGGTCTTCTTATTAACCTCTAGGATCTTGTTGAGTGACATCTTCTCTCTGTAGAACTCCTGCAGCCTCAGATCCTCCAAAAGGCTCTTCAAGTAAGTCTCTGTGGAATACAAACACACTTGAAAACTTATATTAAAAGTGAATCAAAAAAAAAAATCCAAATCATGATCGACATTATTTTATTAAACGGTTTTCCCCATGATTTTAATAGCGTAGTTTATATAAATATTAGATACTTTCAATGCAATTTAATATGGAAACATTTACAGATGATAAAGCAATTAATTTCCGAGTCTTAATTGTGATTTTACTAGTATACTGGTTTTTTAAGTTGTGATAAATTTTTATTCATGAAATTTGTTTAGGAGTCGTGATTGTAACTTTTCACAGTCATTCTGTGTGCAAGTCTGCCTGAAAGGTTTATACTGTATTTACATGTTTGCCTCTCTGCGCTCATACACTATACCTTAAATATCAAATTTCACTCCCAATGAAGTGACACTCACAGCTGTACAGGGTTCCTTTATTCATGGTTGAGGGGTATTAATGAGAGAGGGATGCCCCCTTCCCTCCACTGGATATGTGAAGCAGTGTAAATCTGTGTTGCTATGGCAACACAGTGACAACCATGTGCAACTTCACATGGACCGTTTGTCATTCATAAGAACGTGAGTATTGTCTCGTGTCCTCGACAAGTATGTTCTTGAGAACACAGGAAAGTGTGGGCTTGGTGAGAACGGGAGCACGCAGCATAATTATGGGTCAATTGCAACAGAAGCGTACTCTTGACATCACCACACGGCCGGCTCGTCTAGAGCTGCATTATACCTCTTGTCATTAATAGTCTCTAGATAATAATAAATTATTAGATTTTTCATTTAGTGGGGGAAAAACAGTTAACACAGTCAGATAAACACAAATCAAATGAACATTTTTGCCAAATATAACAAAAAAATTGTAATCAGAACCAGCGGTACTTCAAACACGGCTATGCCGAGAGTCGGCCACCGCAGACGGGCTGCGGTTAGCCCTGGCTAACCTCGGCGGTCCGCTGGCTGCTGCGGTCCACTCAACTTCGGATATTGTGTTTTTAATTACGCATTAAATCGTTATGATCGTTTGATCCATACAGTGACGCTTTATAGTATAATATTCAAATGATCTTAAAACATACTTTTATTGAACAACAGCAACAGAAAACATAACTTTTAACTTAATACTATACGCTCTGTGAGCGCTCGATTGAAAGATGCTGCTGCTGCAGTGCATGCTGGGATAGCTGTCAATCTCAAGAATGAACAAGTCTGCTCTGATGCATGCTGAGTAAATAGGGAGAGGCGAGAACAACATCAGGGGACTTTGTCTTTTATTAGTCTGCTGTTCTTGTGAATTGGAACAGCAGTAGGGCTGAGGCTGATGATGTTTCACGAGTACACGAGCACATGGCAATGCACAACTACACATATTGAGAAACGGCTATGGAATACAATATTTGCCCCTTTCTTAAAATTAAGTTTAAACAATCAAACTATTTCAAAGAGGACCTTCCCTCTTGGATTTAATTACATATATATATACATATATTATAGGGGTGGAACGATTCACAAAATCCACGGTTCGGTTCGATTCACGGTTTTTGGTCACGGTTTTCGGTTCGATTCGATACATGTTGATTGTTACACCGAAAT